CAGTTCCCATAATTTGTGTGTTTAGTTCTTGTTCCCAACTGTTAGTTTGCTCTGCCGAATTGATGCAGCTACTACCTGTTATATGGTTTATCATACACTTTTTGTGAATAATCATTATATAAGCACTATGGAAAGTATTTATTCTTTGATCGCACCTTGAAATGTGTAAATAACTTAGATACTTCAAGAACTGAGTTTCGTGAACTTCATAGCTTATGTTGTCAGTGGTAATAACACTGTATAATAAACATATTTCATGATTTAATTTCGCGATTTGACCTATCATTCAGTATTTTGTTTTGAATCTTAAAGATGATTAAAAATATAGTTGCATACAGAAGTAGAATATCATTTGTAAGTAATTCAGAAGTCAGTCCATGGATTTTGTGACCTTCATGTGTATATATTAATGAATTTCGTTTAATAATATTGAGAAATTAGATTGGCCGTTTATGCAATGTTAGAACATAGATTTATGTATCATGATGTTGAAGAAGTTTATCACACAATGCATTATCTAGTTGCTACTAAAATTATGAGTTACACCTTTTACAAAGTAAAAGCAAACTTTATTTAGCTATAAAGAAGTACCTGGTTACATGGTATGCGTTAAGAAATCCAGAAATCATCGACATAAAATTATTCACTGCCATTGGAAGTATGCTTACAATATTTTAGCTACATGCTGATATCCCGAATATCCGGTTGAAAAAAATTGGAAAATGGGATGAAAATTTTTTGATTAAGGGGGACAAAAAAATTATTAAAAAAAAATTGAAGTGATCCTAATGTTATTCTTCTTACTCCAACCATGAATTGAAGATTATAAATCTTAAATGATTTACGATTAGTGTAAACAAAATATAAATAACAGCTCAACGTGCCTATGTGAGCTTTTTCGTAATTATAAAAATTATACACTTAATTTCAAATCATTTTTATATGAGATCTGAATAATTAGATACCATAGTGTCGTTTTAATTTTAATCAGATCTTAATAGTTCTTAGTTTTCTCAATTGAACATCAACTGATCTATAAAATTGTTAGTACAATTGCTTGGATAGGTAGAACTTTGAGCCTAGTTGAATTAATGCGTCCATCAAAGCTAGACCGCCATGGAAAACCTAAAAGCAGTGGACGGCCTATTGTTATATATAATATATATATCGCAAACACAGACACTTTTTGCATCTATGTTTTCTGGAGGAAGCTATTATAGCAGCTCACATACGATTGAGTTTGTTTACATCTAATTTGGTTAAGCCCTTTTGCTAACTTATTTAACGGACAGTCATTCGTACAATAACAACCTATCTATTCTTTTGTACCTTTACTATGTGCGCTTGAGCATTGTTTACTGCCTACGCATATATTCATTCTGCTAGCCTTACTATTAATCGCCTAATTGATTCGATGATTCATGCTTTTCTATTTGTATATATATGTACATCTTAATCCTGTTTACTGCACTCGCTTACTCGCTGACTCGATAAATTGATCGCTTTCTCGTTCGCCTATTCTACTCTCACGCTCACTCGCCTGCTTTACGGCACTAATCTTTCATGCTTGCTTAACGTGTCTGTAATTTTGGATATCTGTGTGTGGTGCAATAATAATTGCGATCAACCCTTCTTATTCGCCTTCTGATTTATACACCGTTAGGACGTTATCGTGTAATGGTTATAAGTACGAACAATACACGAAGTTTTAGGATAATATCGAATATTGACCTCCACAATCAGACAAATCAAGAATGGGAAGGCAGCAGGACCTGATAACGTACTAGATGGAACACTGAAGTCAGATATTGAAGTGACTGCAGATATACTCAACGTTCTACTCTGGAAAACATGGAAGGAAGAACAAATGCCGACAGACAGACTAGATAGAAAAATACCCCATCGAGATGCGAAAAGAATATTTGAGCAAATGTGAGAGCTACGCAAACATATCACTACAGTTAGTCCCAGGAAAAGTTTTCAAAAGAGTGTTGCTGAACTGGATGAAAGATTATAAACTTGTTAAATGTGTGTTGTATTGTATTGATCAGAAAGTCATTTAGAATACAAAGATTAGATAGCTTCAATAAAGACACTCATGAGACTAGAATTTGTTAATCACTTTAAATATCACTTTTTTAGCTTTATGTTATAGAAGCTATAGGTAAGATAATTTATACGAATATTCGTCAAGGTTAAAAAGAATAGCTTGACAAAAATTGGGAGTCATGTATAGAGAAGTCATTATGTGAAAAATTATATTTGAAATAGTCTCAGAGATTGAAATTTAAATAATTCCAACGTTTCGTCCAGCTAACTTGTCTGGACTTCTTCAGGGAAACAATCAAATTTAAAATCATCAAAGAAAAAAGGAATTCAACATCCAAATATGATTGGTTTGACGTAGTTTACATTTTGATATGAATGTTAAAAACATTATATATTTCTTTGATGATTTGATTTTCATAGTTGAAATCATGAGCATTTGTACAATCAGGAAGCTACAAGTAGATATTCTGGAGTGTCCTCACGAATTATGATCGGATGGGATATCTTTCGCTCTGTCACAGCTGCTTAGAGCCTCCTTGAGTTCAACGGGAGCCTTCTCCACAGAATGAAGTAATAACATATGAGAATTCGTTTACTTTTGACTATTTTAATTCGTGATTTATGTAGTAAAGAGAGACCAACCTGGTTAATGAACATAATCTTTCTAAGACGAATTTTAATCTGAAATCATTTCATTACTTTTGTAGTCAAGGCACAGATGCACAGGATTTTCAGAAAAATAAATTTTCTGTTTTACTCTTCCCATACTTAGTTTCACATTTTTAAGGATTAATAATATCGCACAAACCACGTTCAACTACGGTCAATTACTTCTCGATGCTATCTTCTGAACACAAACTTTCTACCTGGTTGAACTAATTTCTGATCAAAGTTCATCGTAGCGCTCTGTAAAGAAGCTATTGAAATGTAGTCGCAATCAGCTCCATTTCTTTTCGATTGATGTGTGGACGAGTTTGACAATGATTGATTGTTTTGCTGAGTCAGACATTAGATAGGATGACAGGTGTTATATGTGTTATATATATTCTTCTATCCTTATTATGTATGAACTGTTCCTTGTTGATGGACTGTTATTGATTGACTGTTCCTTGTGTCGGATTTTGGTGTGGAAATATATTGACGTCATAGTCAGGCTAATCTCGTGTTCTTGATCTGAGTTGTTTTGATGTCCTGTAGAATAGACACTGGGTGGGAATCTAGTGTAGATATTCGTCTAAGGTAAATTAATATCCCGCATACGTGTAAAAAGTGAAAGGACTGTTATAACAAGAAACCCTAGAATTATAACAAGCATCCTTCAGTTTATAACATCGATAAATATATCCTTGAAGTTGCGCCTTTGTATTGTTCCCAGTATCAAAGTCTGTTATGTAAAACATGTCACGTTTATGTCCCTTTGTTAACCTAATATTTTGGTGTGTTGTATTGAGAAGTTCCAACTTACGAGATGCATGTTCATAATCATTACACGCAACAAATGTATCGTGAACATGGTCGTTCTTCAACGAACGATTTCGATAAACCTTTCTTAGAGCTTCTAAATACTTTTGACTGAGGAAAATAACTAAATCCTATGTTCCATGTTATGTTTTTACCAACTTTGTAATTACAAATAAGTTTTCTTGTTATTAACCTTAGTGAGCTGTCGTGAATTAAGAAAAGTTGACTTACGTTCAAACTATAAATTTATTACAAATAGAACGATAAATGTAGTACATAGTGAACTATATCAAAAAAGCAATAAATTTAATATGTGAATGTGTATGGAAGAAGGTAGAGTGTTTAATAATGAATACACTTCAATTAAAATGACCAAAATGTATGTAAATTTAAAGCAATTATATAAATCACAGAAGATTATGAGCTAGGTCATTCATAGAATGTATTTACTGATTGATATGCAAACAAACAAAACAATAATAACATGACGATGAATAGATAATTTTGTCATTCCGTTACATAGATCTGTTGAGCAACAACTAATTTGATTGTTAAGATACATTCTTTTGCATGTAGTTCCACAAAATTTACTGATAATTCCAGAACCATAAGTTGTCTGAAAATGTAAATCAAAATTAAATATTCAGTCAAAATAAAGTTGACGATAAGTTTAATTTAAGTGGGAGAAACACCAGATATAACACTTGAAATCTGTAACTAGCAAATTATTTTAAACAGAGATGGATGATGGCTAGTAGTGGAATCTAGAGTATGTATTTCTCTTTAGCTAGGGCTTGTCAGCTGATTATACCTGTGCTTCAGAGTTGATGTTCACTTTGAGACTCGAACCTAGAACCATTCGTTTCAAATGTCACTAAATTATACACTTAGATACTGAGTGCAAATGGCAATTCGCTTGTGCAATGGAGTGGATTTTAATTCATCAATACAAGTGTAGTAAAAGATTTGTATTAATTTATTCGATAACCATAAATTAGTGAGAGATTTATTTTAGGACATCATAAGATGTTCTAAATCAGTGTAAAGTTTAACAGTTGTAAATTTTTTTTATTTTGTTGATCTTAATTTGAGTTAGATTGCTTAATTTTATTATCTATATAGGTAATTTATTATATGTTAACGTTATATAATTAAAAGAGAGGATGCTGAATATAACTCTAGGGGTTCTGGTTATAACAGTCCTTTCACTTCTTACGCGTAAGTGGGACGTTAATTTATTTTAGACGAATATCTACACTAGATTCCCACCCAGTGTCTATTCTACAGGACTTCAACAGAACTCAGATCAAGAACACGAGATTAGCCTTACTATAACGTCAATATATTTCCACACCGAAATCCGACACAAAGAACAGTCAATCAATAAGTATCCAACAACAAGTCACCATCAACAAGAAACAGTCAATACGTAATAAGGATAGGGGAATATATATAACACATATAACACCCATCATCCTATCTAATGTCTGACTCATCGAGACAACCAATCATTGTCATTCTCGCCCACACATCAGTTACTATTATGACTTACCAACTTATGGTTTGGTTAAATTTGTTAAACATTGTAGATGCATAACGTAATTTAACTCATGATCATTTCATGATCATTTGTAATTACGGAAATCTAATCTAGGAGATTTTATAGGAAGTGACGGTGAACACAAGTTATCAACTAGCTAGCTGTATAAAAGATATTATTGATACTTCTTGAAATGCTTACTTTTTGTTTACAATTAAAATACGTAATGTAGCATTAAAATTTTTCTATTACATCATCATGTTTATTCCTTGTCCATATAAATATATACAATGAAATATATTACACTGGTTATTTGAACTTACCACACATGCACCACAACCGTCAACAACCCTTTCGCTACTTTTTGTACAATTCAAACACGTATAGCAACGGAATGGATTTGCTGTGAATTGAATTAGAGAAATCAACATGATATAATGACAATATAATGAAAATGAGTTAAAACTGTCAATATACATGTGATCGGATAACTTATATAAATAATTTTGGATACTTATATTCGACTTGAATTATTTTTTCTGGTTAGCGTTTTTTTAGCGAGTTAGCTTTTCTACGGGATGGGGTCGCTAACCCCATGCCCAACCCTCCTCCTTTACCCGGGCTTGGGACCGGCAGTAACTCTAGAAGAGCTACAGGCGGAGTTCCTACTGTATGGAGCTGAAACGTGGAGAACTACTACGACCATCATCAGGAAGGTACAAGTATTTATAAACAGTTGTCTACGCAAAATACTCAACATCCATTGGCCGGATACTATCAGCAACAGCGTTTTATGGGAGAGGACAAACCAGCTTCCAGCTGAAGAGGAAATTAGGAAAAGACGTTGGAAGTGGATCGGACATACATTAAGGAAATCACCAATGTGCATCACGACTCAATCCCTAACTTGGAATCCGGAGGGGAAGCGGAAAAGAGGAAGGCCAAAGAACACACTACGCCGGGAAATAGAAGCCGATATGAAAAGGCTGAATAGTAACTGGAAAGAACTGGAAAGGAAGGCTCAGGACAGAGTTAAATGGAGAATGCTGGTGAGCGGCCTATGCTCCTCGACGAGGGGTAACAGGCGTAAGCAAGTAAGTAAGTATATTCGACTTGAAATGACTGCATAACATGAAAATATAAAATTACTAGAAGTTATCCTGTAGAACGATTTTCATTCACCACTTGAATGGAATGAAGTCATGAAATAAAAACGTAAGTGTCTGGAGTTGGCACAATCAAAATACTATGTTAAAATAATACACATTAACTATCCAATATCCATGTTAATAAAGACAAGACTTAAATAACCCTAGTTGATAATAAACAAAGTGGAAATTCATAATTAAGTTGACATACATATTTTGATGTCCCTGTTAGATGATATAAATGATGTTCATTCATGATGGTTTACAGTTATCATATGTACAAAAATATAAATTATCATTTATTTTTCAGTATGTTCATTTCGCTACAACTTAAGTGTTCTTAAATAGTATATCTGCGTAAAATTAACTAAGTTTAGTTTTGTAAAGAAAACAAATTACTTACCTATAGGAACTGATGGAATTTCTAAAATCAAATTTAAAATGAAAGTGTTTAAACAATGATATATTAATGAAATAATACATTAAGAAATTGTACTTCAAAACTTTTTGACTAAACACATAACTAGTTAAGATTGACATTCAACGTCATTACTTTCAATAATTAGATAAACATTCTATAGCTGTCTTTGGATAAGAAAAGCAGTTAATAATCCAAATGGTGACGGTCGATAAACCTCCTCATTTAATTGCATTATTAAGATTGGCGTGAATTAATAGACTATTTAAAACTAAATCTGTTTAAGCTTTTCTATCTGTTCACATTTTGCATAATAAGTTAGATTTTATATTTTCTCGTTTCAAAATAGTTGATGTTTCTTTTAATAATGAATATAATGAAATTCTCCTTTTTATCACTTACCTGCAGTGTTATCAACTGTTAACCCGTTACACAAATCAGAGTTACACTGCGTTCGATTTTCGTTTGGGAAGTTAATGGGTATGCTATTATCAAACACGCATATTCTGTGAATCGAATAATTATAACCAGCAGTCTGAAAATTTATGAAAAAAAACGGTCATGAATTAGAACGGATCAAAATAACTCACAGACACAACTCAAGAATAAACGTACGTTACAATTACTTTATAAATGTATTTCTTATGTTTGTTAGGAACAGCAGCTTATCTTATCATCGTTTCGACTATAAGAAGAGCAACAACTACGATGACAATACATTATAGTAAGTCCACATCAAAAATAACTACAGACTGCCATTTCATTCAGCGTGTAATATTAGTTTATCAAAAATTCATATAATTTATTAAACATAGAAACATGTTTTTATAATGTAATAAGAAGACGAAGACTATCAGCACTATGTGATATATTAACGCAATACATTTAGAACAATCTGATCACATAGTTCTGATAATCTTCGTCTTCTTATTACATTATCGAAATTTATCAAAGAGACCAATTGCTTTAAGTAGAAATGTGTTTATTAAACGGCTTAACTTACTAAGCAAGATGTACAGTTGTTCTCTTCTGATATTGATACGCTTGTTACTGTCGGACAATAATCACAGACGTAGCAACGCACTGAATGACATTGGTCTATGTTAAAAGCAAACAACCATTGAAAATCCAAGAATCTTGATAAAAAAATTCAATCAATCCAAGTTTTATTGGATAGAAAATTATTAAATAAACATTTACTGTATGTTCAACTTAGTATTGTTTGTTTGAATCTTCCCATCGATTTGTTAGGACTGCAACTGGTCAGTCTCTAATTGGCATATGTGCATACTGTGCGTATTGCCTCGATATACCTTAATTCACAAGCATGGTTAGCAGAGATGGATAGTGGCTAGCAGTGGAATCCAGGACGCGCGTTTCGTCCTATTTGGGACTCGTCAGCTGGATGTATCTGCCGAGTGCATAACGCTATGGCGTTTGAAGCGAGGGTACTGGGTTCGAGTCCCAGAGTGAACATCAACTCTGAGGTGCAGGTACATCCAGCTGACGAGTCCCAAATAGGACGAAACGCGCGTCCTGGATTCCACTGCTAGCCACTATCCATCTCTGCTAACCATTTACTGTATGTGTTTGCCTGTTCATTTAAAAATATTTAAGGCGATAATATACGTCAACTTGTAGACAACACGTTATTTGAATATTACATACTTGTCCCCTTTGTTCAGTTAAAATTCTGATAATAAGGCAGAAGTATACATCCGACAACATACTGATTTGTTAAATTTTTGTACAAACTAATTTACAAATGAAAAATTCTCCCATTTTCGTTCATTCAGACACAATTTATAAAGCATGAGTAGGTGTTCAGTAACTTGGGAAATAACCAAGTAGTTTATAAGAAATGTCACATACTATTCAAAACTGGTATTTAAGTGTTATATTTTACGAATATAATGACGACAAATCTAGTTTATCATTGAAAAGTGTATACAAAAACCATGATAGACTTTCTAAGGGCAGTAACTCGAACGCTCCTGATCGAGTCACAGCTTATCACTAACAATCACTTGAATGGGTAACTTTAACTGATTAGTCTCTAAAATGGCCACTTTCTCCACTATCACTGAATTTATTTAGTGGTCTGCACAATGTAATAACACATTTGTCATCTAACCCTTCACAGACTAATTTTCTATTAAGAGAATGAATTATAGACTTGGAGTTTTCAAATGACAAAAATCCTTTTTGATGGAAAACGTAAACAAGATTCATTTTTCGGAATGTATGAAGTATTATTTTAAACTATTTGATGTTAATCTCTCTACTTTTAAATGCCAAATGTTGCCTCCCGACTGGGATGTATTATCACCTAGATAGATCGTATGAAATGAATTAGTTGAGGAGGTTGGCCACTTCATTTATTTCGGAAGTCTCAACAGCTCTGATAGGTCGTAGGCTGACGAAATCCATGAATTAATTCATAAAGCTCACATAGCTTTTCCCAACTTGCAACACTTGTGGCGTAGGCACCATTACGTCCCTTCAGCAATGTATATGGCCATACGTGCGCGTCAAATATAAATAATTTAGATGTCCGAGCGGCACCAGTTACTCATGGTAAACAATGCATTAAACAGTACTGAAGTAGATTTCTAGGTAAAGATGGCAAATCAGTTAATAAAAGCTGTGAAACTTCATCGCCGGAGGTGATAAGGAGATGAATCAGGTATTCCAAACTGTAACCCACTGAGACATTGAAAGCTGGCTATTGTGAAATCAAGTTAATTGGATATAAGATACTGGGAAGTCAAAAAGTGATATCAATATTCGAAGTCATTCAGCGTTGATCTTAATCATGTTATGGGTGAAGACCAAGTGTCTGGGGTCTGAGAGTTCGCTTCTACCAATGATTTAAGATCTTAAGTGACGTATCTCTAAATCGGTGGTATTAGAGTAAATGGATCCGTTACTTATTTTTACATAGCGAGCTCCAGGATTACTTTATATTATTTACCCCATATTTCCATTTCGTCTTTCAAAACAATTCTCTGTTTTCTACTTATACTGAAAATGATATTGTTTCAAACCAAATGATTTTCATCATATTCTTTCTAAATCACTGCGTTAACATTTCATTGTAATGTAGGACCATGTACATTTTTGATGAATTCTGAGTTGATCATGATTGAATACTTATTGTTACTCTTTCTCGTTGATAGATTCAAACTTCAAATGTCAAACAGTACAAATATTTGGGTGGTCTGTCCTTCTAAGTTTACATAATTTCTAGTCTTTACTTATTAAACAAACAACCCATTAAATACATATAGCAAATAGGGAGTTATTCTACCGGATCGAAATAAAATACTAACTGAAAAGACTTCGGTTACAATCTTAAGAGAGTTTGATAGAACCTCCTTCAGTTGGAATCCAAATCACTGGAATATATGTAACACAAAGCTTAACATAGAATATTTTCATCTCAAAATCAAACTGAATTACTTACGTTTATCCAGAATATTCATCATAATGTACAAAAAGATTACAATATACTCCCAGCCACTTTTCATTCTCCAATCAATTTAAAATACTTGAAGATATATGCGAATTAAATCCCGAGATATAAGACTAATCACCCAAGCATGGAAATAAATTTATCCGTGTGAAAAATGTTAATCGTGCTATCATAGACATGTCGTATCTGGACTACAAACACTAACCAATCAGAAGCCAGTAAATTGCTATTCAACCAGTCTGTCCGTTGATCACACACTTGTCTGTTCGACTCCATTGGACCATTAATAAAAACGAACCATATGATGAATAGAATGTTAATTTTAAGCTGATTCGTTTTTATAAAGGTAATGCGAGTGGAATGAAATAACAGCTTTTTCTACTAACAATGTTGATACAGATCTGTCGCGTTACTTTTTATGGGAATTTGCAAAACACTAATAACAAGACCTGGAAAACGAAGGTTATCAGAATTATGTGATATATTTGCTCAATACAGCTCAAGGGTGAAACGAGTGAATCAGAGAACGAGTAAAAAAACGTTTACAATTTAAACGACCGTTGTACCACCTCTTATTAGAGTTGTTCACAGTTATTGCAGTTTTGAACAAAAGAGTTAAACATCATTCAAATAAATGAATATTTTACATAGTCCAAGTGACAGACTGTGAGGTCTGCACACGTCAATTAAATAAGACTTTTGTTACATTAGAGCATCAAAGTTGTTATGTGTCATCAACATTTATTGTTGTTGACTCAATTCTTTGGAGGTAGTCAACAATCGAATAAGACTAATATTCCGACTGAATATCTAATAGTATCCTATACAATCTAATCTTCATCAAGACTTAATTTTGTTCAGTATTATTTTTAATTTTTTTACACACTTAGAATGGAAATGTATGAAAGTCAAAAGTTAATGGAGTACAATGGATACAATCTTGAATAAAATGTCAACATATTTCTGTGTTGCCCAATTGTTCTCTCTATAAAGCGTTTTATTCATTCTGGTGAAATCATTCTTTTTGTTCGAATAAAACCTGTTGGTCAAAAATGAAATGAATGAACAATTCTGTTATATCTTTGTGAAGACATAAGTATGGGTAACTTCCGGGACCTGTTAATGGACAATTGTTCTATATATATTCTTACTGTTTAACTATTGAGTAACCAGATTGTGTATATCTATATTCATCTTATTATAAACTTCATTTTGACCCATGAATTATTACTGTACGATTTACTGTTCTCAAATTATGTTCAGTTTATAGATTAGTGTATCCCATGTTCACAGCCACACTTGTCTTGATCTTGTACAAATATTATTTTCCGTTTTATGGTGTGATGCGGTCTGTCTGTCTGGTATATAAACTGAGTAAGCTTGAAATAAAGGACTGGCATAGATTCGCATAGCAGAAGCTGTGATTGGTGTCATTGATCTTGTCACAATGTTAATATCAGAAAAGTTGTATTTTGATTAGTGGATAATTCACGTGATAAAAGCTGGACATAAAAATCAATAACGAATTGGCCTTCGTGTTATTTTATTATTGTGGGACTCCTCAGCAGTGCGCGTCCCACAATAGAACGGAACGGCCGTCCAGTGCTCCCAGGTTTTTCTTGGTGGTCTAGCTTCAATGGACTCATGCTTTCTACTATGAAAATACTGAAATCTCCACCAAACCCCTTATCATTATATTTTTTTCATGATAAATCACTACAGAACAAACAACTTTTTGGGTTTTTCTTACATTGTTTATTATTGTGTATTGAAAATATGCGTGAATATATGTTCTGTTTGACTAAAATATGTTCAATTTTTATATATTTAATGCATTCAAACAAAATGTTCCTCATTTATTTAACAGAGAATGGACGATATCACAATTTCACTGTCAAATATGCACCAATCACCATTCCATGCATAATTTTTTATGTTATCCGTTTTTATCATGATTCATTAATGTCATTTTATCATAGTAAAAAAATCATTCATTCAATGATGAATATTAAGATCGTGGTATTACTAAGAAGAAGTACTATTATTTTAATTGTACACCTTTATCCTATGAATAATTTTTAAAGATAATATGCTCATTGTTATCATCGATTGAATTTCAAGTTTTTTTTCTCAATTGAGATCTTCAACTTAAAGGTGAATAGATGATAAAAACTTTATGTTCGATAAAACGGCGAGACTAGAATTTATGGACGAGCCAATCAGAAGCGTATGAAGGATTTTAAGGTCACCGCTCCAATTTCAGTACCTGATGTTCATGTACAATCGGTTCTCAGAGGATTTTAGAGAAGATATGACAATTAAGCAGCTGCTATAAATGGAACTATTAAGAAGTTCCTTTATTTGTAATTGCGGTAATCAATTGACTAATAGACCTTGTACAGACTACCCTGATGATGTTATCTTTCTATATAATATATGTTAGAGGAAGAAGTTTGCTAGAAAAGGAACTTTTCTCTCTTGATCCAGATTGGGACTAAGGCAAATTGTAATCATTGCTGCGAACTATATAATAAAAGCACCAGTATTATTGGTTGTAATATTCGAAGATGTTACTGAAGCTTTGGCTGTTCAGAGGTATGAGTATTGTAGGGATATATGCGTAATAAAAATGACAAACTTACACAACTGGAGTACAGACAAACAATATTGAGAATATGTGGTCGAGGCTGAGAGAGCTTTTGTTACCTTATCATAGCTATAGAGACCGAGGAGTATGGAACCATATGGATGAGTTCCCCTACGTTATGCATTACGATTTTAGAACCTTTTTCTAACCTTGACAAGTTTTTGAAGCATGTAGAAGAAGTGTATTCACTGTAATTCTTTGGTGTTGTATAATATATTTTTACTCTATACTGTTACCTGATTGACTAATATTTCTCAAAATCACTTAAGATTCGTTCAAAGGTCGTCCATAAATTATAGTCTCGCCGACAAAACAACTAAATAATTGGATTGTAATATACAATTAAGAAAATATATAGTTTTGTTCAATCTTTTTAATTGAGCAAGATCAATTTAACATCATTATAATTATGATCGGATTAGAAATTAGTCAGATTAAATGTATTCGATTACATCAGAAAATACATAAACACTATGAAGTAAATGAATGAGAAGTATTGGGGTCATAAACATCATTTAGTAAGATGTCTTCTGTGTTTAATAGAATGTTTAAAAAATGTGACCCTGGCAACTACACGAAATTTTATAATCCTGAATAGTTTTTTCTTAACTGTTCTTTATTCATTTTGCAATGTTAATTAATCAGCAAGTAGTGAGCAATATCATGTAGACTAGTACGTTGTGATGGCGGGAATTTATGTGTTCTAACGAGTTCTCAATGAAGCTAAGTGAGTATCCAACATATCACTACTAATCAACAAATATATTCAATTTATAAGTCAATATTAAAAATATTGAGCTGTTAAAGACTATGAATCATAAAGAATCACATAAACAGTGCTTTCAAATCTAATCTGAAACTAATATTTTCGAAGACTACTTATTTATATCATTATCTCATCTTTTAAAATATCTTAATATCCCCATATGATCTTAATTTCGCAAAACATCTAATGCTTATTGCAACAGTCACCGTAAGATTGATGTACTAATTTTCAAAGCTACCATTTAACTTCATAATTTTGACGTTTCTTATATTCAATTTATCAGGAAGACATGGATATTCAAACGTAAAATAATGATTAGATGACTTGAAAATTGAAAATTCGATAACTTCTAAAATTACCCAGTGGGTTGTATTCAATCATCATTTAGATGGGAATTTTTTACTTTACGCATAGTGCACTGAATTCTCCTTATCTCTAATTGTTTATTACTTCCTAATCTTTAGTGCTTGTTTAGTCAAGGTTTATGTATTGGAATACGTGTACAAATTACAGTTTGAGTTACTCATTTTATATTACAACGACTTAACAACACAGTGAACAATTAAACATGAGCCAATCGTTTAGTTTCCAAGTCATGTCTCTAATAATTAGGTTCAATACAATATAATTGATGTGAAATGATTATTTATTATAGATTAGTTAGTAGATTTGTAGATAGATAAATTGAATGCTGTGGGTCAAAATGTATCAATGATACATCGTTAATCATCTGACTCTAATGACAAGTCATTAATTAACATGGTACATATCCATTCTATTTACATATGAAGTTTTCAGTTACGTTTATAAAATAAAACCAAAAAATATTCATCATTATATGAAGAGTTTGATTTGTGTGCCACATCCCCCTACTTAATTTGCATTGATCATTTTGCACTTGAAATACATTTGTATATGGATACATTCATGAATATATATTTATCATAGATCGACTTGTGCTCATGGTCGATATGCGTTGGTCATGTTCATTTTTTAAAATATTTTTGTGCAGAATATAAAGAAATCATTTTTATGGGAATGAGAAAAAGTTGTCTATTACCAAGGTTTCTAAAAATGTTCCCTACACGAACTATCTCTTTCTACAGATAGATTAGATAAATGTATATATTTTGATTGTCCTATATTCAATCATTTTCGTTTATGTTAATAATAGAAAATATATAGACCGTGAGTCCGCCTACATGGATGTTAGTATAGATCAATGATTTTATTTTGATTCTCATTTTAAGTAGGTTGACGTTTATTTATCTTCAATGAATCATTTACACAAAACAATTTGTTACATTATTCCTCAATAGATTTTATTTGTAAGTAGTATTTGTCACTGATCGATTTCAGTTGGGGTGTCATAAGCAATCACGGATCGTTGAAAAACAATTTGATTTAATTCACGAGTTGATTTATTTAGATTGGATTGGTTACGATTTTTGTAACGCTTTACCATAGTTTATCAATATCGATTCTTAGAAAAAACCAAATCTTACAAATTCTCCATGACATTTTCATAAATGATGATTCTTAATTTCAAGAAGTGACTTACGTCAAAGTGATTTATCAAAATTCTAATAGAAATCAGTAATCTAAGTGAAGTTAATCAAATTTTTTCTAGAGGTGATTGACAAATGATGATGTTATATCACCAAAATGTAAAAAAGCTGAATTCTGACAACTTCTGAATTGATATGGTAAATGTCACAAGTCATGACTACACATCACCACGTAGTTTAGAGACGTAAAGGAACAAACGTTTGTTTTCACATGACTCAAGTTGATTTTTAAATTCTTTTCACAGATCCTAGTAAGAGAATGGTTTTCGTAAAAATCACAAGGCATGAAAGTAGTATCATCGATGAAAGAGGAGGATCTGATGCAGACGTAAGGGCACGGATCAGCAAAATAATCGTAGTATTTCTACAATTGAAGAACTAATGGAACTCAAAACAACTGTCTGTCAGACAACATCAAAGTCAGAATATTCTATACGAACGTCAAAACTGTTCTACTGTGCATAGCTGAAACTCAGAGAACTACCACAACCAACACCAAAATGGTACAAGTATTTATAAACAATTGTCTACACAATATACTCAATATCCGTTGGTCGGATACCATCAGCAACAGACTACTATGGGAGAGAGCAAATCAGCTTCCAGTTGAAGAGGAATTTTGGAAAAGATACTGAAGGTCTATAGGACATAAATTACGGAAATCATCAAATTGCATCACGAGTCAAGCGCAAACTCTGGATCATGAATGGGAATGGAAGATCAAGGAACACAGTGAGTCGGGACTTCGAGGCAGACATGAAAAGGAAATAATAGGAAAGGATTGTACGGGAGGGAGTTGGATGGAGAATGTGTGTGCTCCTTTACGAGGGCTAACAGGCTTAAGTAAGTTAATAACATTGTGTTTACACGACGTCTGGGATAGGAATCCGATGTGAAAAGGATGATTAATAACAGTAAATATTTGGAATGGAGTGCTTGGGATGGAGTTGGATGGAGAATTGTTAGTTCATATCCTTATACGCAATCTTTCTTTTATATATTACTATTATTGAAGTAATTACTTCTGTGAATTTGCTGTTCATCTTGTTGTGCTAATGAGGTGTGGCAACTTGGACTGATGCATATATGTGCCTGGTCCTACGTTGTAGCTGACTGACTGATATCATCATTGAATTGTACGCTCTTGGCACAAATGTTATCATTTCTTAATAGCCTGTTGATTATCTTGTACGCTACACAAATTTCACTTTAGTCCTCTTACAATAGTTTCATTTCGATTCACTTGTTTATTTTGATGATTAAACATTTACACCCCCGTGGAACTAGTTATATATATCGTACTCAGAGGGCTTTATCCATGCGTGTTTTGAACATGTACCAGCATGGTTGAGAAAAAAGGCACTAGATCGATTAACAGTACCATTCTTTCTTACTTGGTTGATAGGTAACATCATATTAAAGAAGACGAAGCTCTCTCTTTTATATATCAAATTTCAAAGAATCTACCTCAAGGAGATAGATGAACTTTTTAACTTACTAGTAATACATTTATGAAGGATTTATGTCGTAGCAGGTGAAAATGTTCACCATTTTTAACATATAACATTGTCAAATCTATTAATTCATACCTTATTTTAGCCTTTGTAAACTATCATAATTATGAACTTACAACTATAGAGTCTCATGATGAAGTTATTGAAAACAATTGTTCTCTCAACTATTCTTTATTTTTGAATAATATCCTCATTAATAGAACTGAATAACAATATGTGGATGGTCAGTTTTCGATATGACACAAATTAGAATGGTTTGATTATTTTCACTTTCGAAAATATTAATTATAAAATTTCTCTGTTCAAAAAATTCATGAGTTGGTCACATGGTCATGAAGGATAATAAGTTTGATTAGCATAGAGGTCATCAAATAATTTTAAAATAATTTTATACTATTTATTTTATGATAAAGTAGTTAATATCTGTATTAAAAAATATACCCAAGTGGAAAATATACCCAAGTAGTCGAATGTTTTGGCAGTCTAACCAAGGAAAAAAACTTCTTATTCCAGAGCGATAATAATCAGCGAATAATTATATAGATAACTTAACAAATATCCTGTTGTCCGGAGTACTTTTACGAATAATAAAATCTTAACTAGTCATG